TTTTTCAAAGAAATGGGATGGAGTTGAAGTTGTGTGTGTTGGCAAGAAGGGATTTCAGTTCAGAGAAATCAATCCAATGGAAGAGTCAGAAGATCTCAGTTCTGTGGGATGTGAGTGTGACACCAGTGGTGTGGAATAAGAGGTGGTGATTGTGTTGGGTGTGGCTGAGCTGGAGTTCCTCTTCCCACAGCCCCCTCCCAGTGCTGGGCTCTGCAGGGGGAGCTGGCAAGGGGTAGAGAACATGACCCTGTTTTGGCTCCTGCTGGGCAGGGCTGGCACAGCATCAGTGCTGTCTCCCAACATTCCCCCCATCCAGGGGCTGGGGGTGGGCACAGCCAGGCCAGCTGAGCCCAATGAGCCCAAGGGATATTCCAGCCCCTGTGCCCATGCCAGCTCAGATAGAAAAGCTGAGGGAAGGAGGAGAAAAGGGGGCAGTGGTTATTCCCAGAGTTTGCCTTCCGGGAAGTGCCGCACCATGCTGAGGGGAAGGACAAAATAAACCTTTTTTTTTTTGGCGGTGAGGGGGGAAGATGTTTTTAGGGCTCCTTGAGTCCCTTTGGGAGAGTGACAGGAATATTCCGTCGGTGCCTTTTCAGACTGGCTCCCTCTGAGCTGCCCCTGCAGGGGGAGGGGTTCCCGACCCCACTGCTCTGAAAACCTTCCAAGGCCTTTGCAGAACCACTGCTTGGGGTTGAATTGTGTTTTCTGCTCCTTGCAGGCTCAGCTGACCACAAACAGGCCTTTTTTGTGTCCACCAAACCTGTAAATCGTTGCCCTTTAAAGTAACAAGTCAGCATCGGCTGATTGCGAGAGATTTGTTGTACCCACATAATATGTGGTATGTTTGTACTGCCAAAACCTCCAGTGCGACATCCCTCTCACTTCAGACCTTGTGCAGTGAAATAAACCTTTTCTCCTGCTTTAATGTGACAAGAATGATGAGGTGTCCAAGCCATGACGTGAATCTCCCAAGTATTATCAGTGTCAATGATTCCAGGGAGCACAAGAAGGCCTGCATGAGTTGTGGATGAGCACCCTAACAAAAATGCACTGTAACCGTTCCCTAGCAGTCCCCAAACCCCCGTGGGGAGTAACTGCACAGCTGTATCAGTTAACAAGACTGACTGGGAGATGACCAGGTCCACTCCGGCACTCTCTGTGGTGGTTGGCAGAGAGCAGGGACACGGGGCCGGAGGAGGCGGCGGTGGAAGTGGATGTGCGGGGCCGGGCTGAGCGCTGGATTTGCGGGCGCGGCAGAAGCGGTGGCACAGGGTGAGGGGTTTAGCAGGGCTGTTCCCGAGGCACCTTGTGGTGAGTCATTGTCAGCAGGAGGCAGATATAAATCTGCTCTTTTTCAGAATTGACCCAGGGTGGGTCGAGAGGATCACTGGGGTTTGAGTCTCGGGTTGTGAGTGGGAATTGTTTCTCTTTAGAATCATTCTCTGCGAGGGGTGCACCCACCAAAGAAAGTAAATCAGTTCCATTTGTAGCTTACAGGTGGCTTAATGCCGAAAACACCTGTTGCCATGTTGACAATAAATTTAAAGCTTTTTCACCTGGCTTCTGCCCCAGCTCTTCCCCAGTTTGCTTCCATACGGCAACATTCAAGTTTCCCTCTAGAGGAAATCAGGAGCAATTGTCACATACCCAAACTAGCAGCGTTACCAACGACAACTGGCAGTTTTAATATCTTTGTGAGTATCTCCATCTGATTTTTTTGTTCCTGTGTTAGTGATTCCCGTGTTTCCCAGCTGCTCACCTGCTGTCCTGCAGAGGTGATGGATGCACACAGTCAAATCCTGTCCCAGGTCGCTGTCCTGGTTCAGCTGGGCTATGCCACTGGAATTCCGGCTATATTTTCTGGATTAATTTTGCATGCTTCACTTGGGCGACATTTGTGGCATACTGCGGCATGGACCCCAAGGAGTGATATAATGGAATAATTTATTGCAGTTCCTTCACGGTTTATATACCATGTTACATCAGCAGTAAATTCCTCTTGGTAATTTTTCTCTGTATCTGCTTTTTAGTTAAGCATTCACTGTCCATGAGAAACATAGTCCCAAGCAATTTCCCACACACAAGGATACATCTCACCACATCCGCATTTATCTTGCCAAGTTCCCCTTCTGAGTTTCTCCCAGGGTCATAGAATCTCGGTTCCCTACAGGTTTTCACAGCAGGGGGGTCGGGAACGCCTCTCCCTGCAGGGTCAGCTCAGTCCAGTGTAGTGGGTTGGCTCTGGCTGGAGGCCAGGTACCCACTAAAGCTGCTCTCTCAGTCCCCTCTGCAACTGGACAGAGGAGAGAAAATATAATGAAGGGTTGATGAGTTGAGATAAGGACTGGGAGAGATCATTCACTGATCATCATCACGGGCAAAACAGACTCAAAGTGGGGATATTAAATAAATATATTATCAACAGAATCAGAACAGGAGAATGAGAAGTAAAATAAATTTCAAAACCACCTTTCCCCACCCCTCCTTCCTTCCAGGTTCTCCCTCCTCCCCACCCACTGCTGCAGGGGGACAGGGAATGGGGGTTATGGTCAGTTGCTCTTCCTGTCACTGCTCAGGGAGAGAAGTTGGAGTCCTTCCCCTGATCCCGTGGGGTCCCTCCCACGGGAGAGAGTTCTTCACCAGCTTCTCCAACGTGAGCCCATCCCATGGGCAACAGTTCGTCCCAAACTGCTGCAACATGGGTCATTTTTCCATGGGGTCAGTCCTTCAGGCTCAGGCTGCTCCAGCGTGGGTCCCCCACAGGGCCACAGGTCCCACCAGGAAAACTGCCTCCAGCGTGGGCTCCTCTCCCCGCGGGTCAGCAGGTCCCTGCCAGGACCCTGCTCCAGCAGGGGCCTCCCACGGGGTCCCTGCGTCCTTTGGGCACCCCCTGCTCCAGTGTGGGAGGATCTCTGCACTCCCGTGGTGCCCTGTGGGCTGCAGGGGCACAGCTCCTGCCCATGGTCTCCTCTTCCTCCCGCCCTGCCCTCGGTGTCTGCAGAGCTGGCCACACGTTCTCACTCTGCTCTTCTTGGGCTGCAATTTCATCTGCCCAATCACTTTTTTTTCTCCTTCTTAAATATGTTATCACTGAGACGTTTCTGTCACTCCTGATGGGCTCGGCCTTGGTGGGTCCGTCCTGGAGCTGCTGGAATTGGCTCTGCTGGACATGGGGGAAGCTTCTGGAAGCTTCTCAAAGAAGCCACTCCTGTAGCCCCCCCTGCTACCAAAACCTGACCATGCAAACCCACACTTTATGGTGAACTTGCCACCGGCTGCCACAACAGAGGAGCCCCAAAGAAAAGATACAAGGACTCCCTGAAACAACATCTCAGCCTTGGCCGTACTGATCACCATAACTGGTCTACTCTGACCTCAAATCGGGAGGCCTGGAGACACCCCATCTATAACGCAGCTGTCTCCTTCGAGAACACACGCAGGATCACCCTTGAGGAGAAAAGGCAGCGCAGAAAGAACCGTGTCTTGCAGAATACACCATCTAAGGAGTCTTTCTGCTGTGCCTTTTGCAATCGGATTTGTCTGTCACGTATTGGCCTCATAAGCCACCAGCGTGCCTGTGGCAGGTGTGGATAGAGCCTTCCCAAATCTTCGTTCGCGAAGCTTCGCCATGATTAATATATGTATGTAATTCATTTATTATATAATATCTAATATCTATTTATATTCTTATGTAATGATATGAATATATAATATATAAATGTTATATATAACTCTCTATATAATATAAATATTATATAAAAATCTATTAAAACATATAAATATCTGCAAAAATATATTAAAATAAATAAAATAGATAAATATATTTATATTCAATAATATTTTAATATATTTTATGTGAAATATAATAATTTTATGATAAATTATACTTTATATATTTCTATTTATGTAAATGTATTTTCTGTTTATATTATATAATACTTTATTTTTATTTTATAATATTTTATCCTTAGAAATATTTTATATATCTATTTTATAAATTTATATGTAAAGTGTAAATCTCAGAAGCAATGTATTGGTTTGATAATAAATCAATTATAGAGGAAATTTTTCAGTTCAGTCTTGATTTTTCAGCAGGTCTTTTTCCTTTGGGGAATTTCTAAAATATTCTAAAATTGAAAAAACTCTGTTAAAATAAATATTTTTTCTGATCCTTTGACCAGTATAATTTAATATTTATTGATTTCATATGGAATAATTAACTTCTTCATCTTTTTTTTCAACAAGATCGAAGAAGGAGGAGGTGGGAGGTAAATGCTCCCCGAAATTTAATTTTAAAAAGTTTTAATTAATTAATTTTTAAAAAATATTTTAAAAAAATTATTTACATTTATTGAAGAAAAAGGAATTAAAATTGTAATTAAAGTTTTAAAATTAATTTTAAATTCAAGTTTTTAAATTCTACAGAGAATGCAGATGGGAAAACTGGCGTTCTCGTTTATTTCACCCTCATTTTGTAGGACTTTTTTTGGGAAAATCAAAGAATTCTCCAGGAAAAAATGGATTTTGGGGTTCTGCCCCCTCCCTCCACCAGACACAGCAGGACCTCGGTGAGTTGCCGGCCCCGCTCGCCCTCAGTGCCCACCTGGTGCCCCCTCACTGTGCCCGGAGCCGGTGTGGAATTCCTGGAGCAGCTGGATGGCAAACGGCACCCGGGGGGGGTCTGGACTGCTCCCAGCCCCCTGGCCCCCCTCACCTCTCTGGGGACACCCCCCTCCCCCAGGAAATTTGAGGTCTCCCCAGATCTCTGTCTCCCTCCCTTCAGGCAATTTGGGGTCTCCCCAAATCTTTTCTCTCCCCCCCCAAAATTTGGGGCATTCCCAAATCCTTGTGTTCCCCCCAAGCTCCCTGGGTCCCCTCAGATCTCTGGGACACCCCTCCCAACATTCCAGGACTCCCAATCCCTCTCCACCGTCCAGTTCTGGACTGTCCCAGGGACCCCCCATCCCAGATTCCACAGAATTTTTGGAGAAAACAGGAAATTCAGTCAGAAAATGCCATGTTTTTGCACAGTTTTGCCATGTGGTTTCAGAAAGGGATAAAGGTCATGCCACAAAAAGCAAAAATATGGGAAAACCCACCAAATCCAAGCATTGCCCTGCATCCCAAGTTGCTGCTATTGCATTTTGTGGGATTATTTAGGGGAAAAATACCAGGAAAAATCTTTGGGGAGGAATTTTGGGATCCAGCCCAAAGTCCAGCATAGGTCCCTCCCTATGCGGGACATGGTGGGACCCTGGTGAGTTCCCGGCATTGCTGAATCCTGGCACTGACCCCAGTGACCACCCGGGTCTGTGCCCAGCCAGTGACCCCCACGCTGTGCTGGAATCCATCACGGAATTCCCGGCGGAGCTGGGCGGTGAACATCACCTGGAGGTCACGCCGGCGTCCCCGGAGCACCGCGGTGCATTCCGAGCGCGCCGGCACCTCCTCCCGCACCTCGTGGGGCCCGTGGGACACGAACTTAGCGATGCTGGCCCCGCCCACCCACGGCAGGGAGGTGACATTGGCCGCAGCCCAGCCCGTCCCGGTGAGGACCAACGGGGCCGCCTGGAGCGTCCCGCGCACGGTGGCCAGTGCGGGGTGATCTGAGCGCCACGTGTGCTCCGTCTCCGTGGCCTCTTCCAAGAAGGTGGACCCTGGGGCTGCCCCACAGCCTTCGTTCTGCACCGGAGCCTCGGCCAAGACCACGTCCTCAGAATGTTCCAGTGCCGTGCTCAGGTTGTAGGCGACGTCCACGATGGAGATGTCGGACGGGCCCGTCTTGACCACCAAGACTTGATACCACTTGTACCAAACCTCCTCCCCCCCCAGTGCCACGAAAAGCGCCCGGTGCTCCTTGGAGACCTTTCCCAGTCCGTCCCGGCTCCGCCCCACGAAGATGTCGACCGATGGGCAACTCTCCACAGCATTTTCTGGGACGGTGCCAAAGGAATCATCCACCCAATCCAAGGCCTCAAAGCCGCCGGCGTTGACCAAGATGTTGAAGTTGGAGGTGTGCTTCTCCTGTCCCCTGTTTGGGAAGTAGCAATAGGGGCCCCTGACGGGATCGTAGGAGCCGGAATTGCAGCCGAGCTCCATCGTGGAACAGATGAATTCCAGGCGCCCGGTATGGCGGTTCCAGCTGGAGACGGCGTCGGGGGGAAGACGGCCTTGGAAGGGCTCCCACTTGAGGTGGGAAGGGGGGCCCTGGTCTCGCTTTCGGATGGGAGTGTCTGAGGAGGTAATGGGGGGGGTTGAAAAAAGGGGAGGACTTTTTGGGAAAAGGAGGGAATTCTGTCCCAGACTGGAGGGTGGGAGAGGCCAGAGGGATGTTCTGGAAGAGGTGGGTGGGGTTGGGTTGGAATTGGGGCCAAGGGACAGTGACTGGGCTACTGGGAGGGGACAGGGGACACTGGGAGAGGATTGGGGGGCACTGGGATAGACTGGGAGAGGGAGGAACTGGGTCACTGGGAAGGGATTGGTGGGCACTGTGAGGGACTGGAATATACTGTGAGGGAACTGGGATGTACTGAGCAGGGAACTGGGATCACTGGGAGTGAATTGGGAGGGGCTGGGCATGAAATGGGATTTATTGGAAGGGGAACTGGGGTCACTGGGAGAGGACTGGGGGGCACTGGGATAGACAGGGTTGGGACTGGGATATGCTGGGAGGGAACTGGGATATAATGGGAGGGGATTGGGGGAACTGGAAGGCATTGGGACATACTGGGAGGGAGGGAACTGGGAGGGACTGTAAGGGACTGGGAGGGCCCAAGACTCACTGAGGGCATCCAGGAGCCTACTTCCTGGCACTTCCACGGCTGGAATTCCCAGAATTCCAAGGCCAAGCAAGAAGAGGAAGATCTGGGGGGGGAACCATGGGAGGCGTCACCTACTCCCATCCCAATTACCACATCCCAAATTCCTCTTTTTCCACTGACTTTTTAGGCTGACATCCCCCAAATTCCTTGATTTTGGATTTAATTCAATTAATTTCATTTAATTTTGAATTTTTTAAGAATTAAAATTTTCTGGCTCTGGGAAAAAAAAATCCTTTTTTGCCCTGAAATGCTTCAAAATTCCCCAAAGATCCCCAAATCCTGAGCCCAGACATACCTGGAGCAGTGGCATCATGGATCCACTGGAGTCTGTGGGAAAATCTGAAATTTAAAAAAAACCCCATGAATTTTAGCAGCCCTGGGGCCATGACCCCTCGAAATCCACATTTTGGGGTCCCCATTCCCAAGTTTCACATTTTGGGGTCTCCCCATCCAAATTTTGGGATCCATCCCTCAAAAATTTGGGATCCCCCCTTCCAAAAAACCCCATTTTGGGGCTCCCCGTCTCTAAATGTTGGGATCTCCCTTCCCAAAATCCAAATCTTGGGATTTCTTGTTTCCCAAATTCCATATTTTAGGGTTCCCCAAATCCCAGGTCCATATTTTGGTGTTCCCCCTTTTCAAACTCCACATTTTGGGGTTCCCTCCCTCCAAATTTTGTATTCCCTTCCCAAATCCAAATTTTGGGGTTGCCAGACTCCATATTTTGTGTTCCCCCCTCAAACTCCAAATTTTGGGGTCTCCAATTCCCAAATTCCATGTTTTGGGTTCCCCTGTTCCCAAACACCAAATTGTGAGGTTCTTTTGTTCCCAAAATGCACATTTTGGGGTCTCTCTCTCTCTAAATTTTGGGATCCCCCTTCCCAAAATTGACATTTGGGGATTCTCCACTTCCCAAATACACATTTTGGAGTTCCTCAGCTCCGAATTTTGGGATCCCCCCTCCCAGACTCCTCACTTTTAGGCTGTCAAATTCCCAGATCCATGTTTTGGGCTCCCCCCCCCCCGCTCCAAATTTCGGGGTCTCACCTCCCAAAATCAACATTTTGGGGCTCCCCAGCTCCATATTATGGGGTCCCTCCTTACCTCTGATCCGGTTTCCATATAAATCACTTTTTTTTGGTTGTTTTCAGTCCTTCCGAGCTGTTTTCTGTGACATTTGAGCCCTGAAAAGTCCCCCCCAAAACAGGAAAAACGTCAAAAAATGTAAAAAATAAAAAAGGAAGTGGGATTTTGTGGGAGATTTTTCTGCATTTTAGGGACTTTTCACTTCATTTTTCAGGGGTTGTTTTTAAATTTGAGTCCCAGAATTGTCCTGGAGCCCCAAAACATGGCTTGAA